GTCCGAAGAGTGGCCAAAAGACGAGGCGAGGTCAGAACGGGGTGTGGTAACAATAAGGGGCCCGGGGGTAGCGGGGTCATGGATCGGGTACTCCATGGTTAGGTTACTTCTTTCTTTTTGTTAAGAAAAAAAAAGAAGAAAAGAAAATAAAAAAGAAAAAAGAATAAAAAAAGGGGGGACCAGGGAGAGATAGTTCCTAGGAGGAATGAAAGGGCCAGAAATCTCCCTCCGCACCCAAGAGGACCTCAGCACCGCAAGTAGTGCAGATGCAGCATGGAACCCGTGCCATACCCTACCCTTCATGCCAGTAAACCAGCAATCCGGGATAGCAACCTCACATCTGCCGAGCTACCTCGGTGGACAAAAGAGAGGGCAGCCGGATATCCGCCACAAAGCATACCTCCTTCGACCACCACCCCCCCGGAATCCGAAAGGTGGCTTCCAGAGATACACCCGTCGCCCGAAAGACACCCAAAGCCACCCTCCGGGACCGGAGAGGGATCGGGACATCCCCAGGCGATCCAGATTCCACTGCAAACTACGCCACCGCCAAGAACCTCAACGGAATGGGATGGACCCCGGTACCCTTTCCCCTACCTAGGAACTAGCGCGCCTGTGGGAAAAATCCCAAAGGTCGAAAAGAGGAAGGGCAAAAGGGAGGGGTGGGGAGGAGGAGGAAAGGAAAAAGGGGAGGATGGGATAGGGAAGGGAGGATTGGGGGATAATTAGGTTCGGTCTGAGGAAAGAGACCAACAGGTCTAATTCCTCAGACCAAGAGCCTCTTCACCACCACAAGGAGCCCCCCTTGAAGAGGCATTTTTCAAAAGAACATGAAGAGAATAGGAGCACAGATGGAGAAAGTTAATGTATAAGATCATGCACTCATTTTTCTTAAATCTGAGACATACTTATTAAGCTTATAAAATGACTCAGTCAGCCTTGACAATCCAAGCAGAGGACTGATGCACTGCTCAACATCATACATTTGCTCTTTTCTCCTCTTATCTTTTATTAAACTACTTAATAAGATATTTTTATTACCCTGCCTGTAGCTTCAGAGTGGATAATTGTTTTTGGTCCTGTCTTTGTGTCAGTCTACCTATTTGTCTGTAATCAAAATAAAATCAACAGATGGAGGGATCCTGATGATTTTAGGTGTGAGTAAAGGGTTGGTCTTCAAAGATTATACACTCCATTCAAAACATCAACAGTGCTGATAAGGAAACCAAAATTGAGTTAAGTGTTGGCATTCCTTGACATAAATACTGTACATTGATTTCTTGATTTCAGTGAAAGTTGAAATTTCTAAAAGCACAATAGCTACCAAAAAAATTAACTGTTAATCTTTTCATAATATACAGCAACTAAAATTTTGCATAATCCATATTTTCCAAAATCCACAAAAAAAAAAAAAAAAAAAAAAAAGAAATCAAACAGAATATTACATCACATATGCCTTTTCTATATAGACAGTAAACCCACAAAAAGTCAAACATATTAGGTATTTGTCATACTATTAAACTGACTAAATATTCTGAGTTATGAAAATTTAATATATATGATCTTCGTTACTTTGCCTAATTTAAGTTTTTCAGTTACTTCCTTATGTTTTAACTAAATTTAAGGTAAGGCATCTTTTTTTCCTATAAAGAACAAATATGTAAAAGCATTTGCTTGGTTTCAGCATTAAGTGGATAGTTCAGTGCACGATAAAAATAAGTTTACAAATATATATAATAACTTATGATATTTTCTTCTTTTTCTTGGTAAGCAAACAGGCAAAATTATTTACAAACATTATTTTTCCGGGGCATGGGGGAGTGACTGTCTAGCTTGGGATAGGCGCCCATACTTTCTAGGCGTCTGGCTGTGTGGTAAAGTACTGCGTACTCTAATGCTGAGTTTTCAGGTTTGAATCCTGCTGTGGAATAAGAGGTAATGGTTGTATACAGTACTCTATGTACCTTTTCCTGGTTACTATTAGACATGTGGTGAATATTATTCTAGAATGTTGTAGTGAGGAGGAAGTTGGAGGCAGTGGAGATGTTGTGTCCATGGGCAATGTGTGGTGTAAATATTATGCAGAGAATTCGTAGTTTGGAGATTAGGAGGAGGTGCAAAGTTACTCTAGGTATTATCCAGAGGGCTGAGAAGGGTTATTGAGGTTATTAAGAGATCTAGAGAGGAAGGAGCAAAATATAATGACTTGAAGGGTGTATAAATCTGTAATGGAGGAAAAGCAGGGTAAGGTCATCCTAGGAAAGGTTGGAGGGAGGAGGTTAAAGAGGTTTTGTGTACATGGGGCTTGGCCATCCAACAGGTGTGCATGAGCATGTTAGATAGGAGTGGATGCAAATGGTTATTTAGCTACAGGGAACACACTTTTGGCAAGATATTGAATGAATGATGGTGAATGTGTTTTCTCCTTTGGATTACCCTGCCTGGGCAGATGACAACTCTTAAAGAAAAAAAAAAAGACCATTCAGCTGGATTGAGTAGAGAACCAGTTGAACAACCTCCATAGGGTCATCTAACCGGTTCTCAAATCAGCTGAAAAGATACAATGATACTGGATTCAAATCTATGTTAATAGTGGTTTTACTTTTAAAATTGAAGTAGTTTTGGTACAACTCTAATGCTCCTTACCAGCTATATTCTTTCAACAAACCGGCTGTATTCCACCGAAGCAGGGTGGCCCAAAAAGAAAAACAAAAGTTTCTTTTTAACTTTAGTAATGTATACAGGAGAAGGGGTTACTAGCCCCTTACCTCAATGGCAGTCTCCTGCCAAGGCAGGATGAACCAAAAAAGAAATCACTAATATTGAAATTGTTCAGGTATTTGATATTTTTCATGTCCCACGACAAAAAATTTTTTCAAGACCAATGAAAGCAAAGTAAAACCCAAAATTTACAATTAAAATGCATGTGGGTTTCCTTCTTGCAAGAATACAAGACCTCTAAAGTCTACACTTAATCATCACATTATCAAATCTGATTTATGTACATAAATCTGAACCATTTCACATGCTGACCATAATGCTTAGTTTGATGTATGATGCACAAGGGAACACTCATGCACAACAGTAATATTTATATTTGTAAATAAAAAAGGAACAGGGTTTGTGAATACTACCCAGATGCACCCTCATCGGATAAAGAAGACTATTGAAAAACTGCATCATTATTCTCTGTATAGTCTAAAGTGCATGTGGGTGAAAATCAATGCTACTTCATGAAATTTTCAAAATTTGAAGGAATGAATTTTCATTACCATATATTTACTGAAAATGAATTTTTCAAGCAATCCAATTACTGCTCAGAGAAAATAACATTTTTTAGAACAAATGTTTTCAAGAAATGTTTAAATTTATCTCCTAATGTTGAATCTTGATTAACCATGAGGTTTAAATGCAAATGCAACAAGCATTATGTATACTAATGACATCACAATACAGAAAAAGACTGCTTTTATACTGGTCAATAAAAATAAAGAATATGTATTGATATTACTTTACTTAACCCTTTCATTGTCCATGTCATAGTAATACAGGTTTGAGGTCATTGTCAGTGCTGTAGTACTATGCCATGAGCTCAGCTCTCTCTCAGATAAGCTATGAGTGGCAAATTTGGGTTTAGATATGAAAGGATGGGTCTATGCACTAAGTGTGCACCACATAAAAAAAATCCTGCAGCACACAGTGCATAATGAGAAAAAAAACTGTGACTGTTGTATATTTCTATATGTTTTTTATGGTTGTATTCTCAATTTCTTGGTGTCATTTGATAGAATGGAAGATATGCTATAGAAATAGAGATGATTTTGATTGGTTTCTGCACTGAAAATAGCTTGAAATTGAACACAAAGTAGCAGAAATGTTTGATTTTTGCCGATATTCAAGAGTAAACAAATCGTGTCACTCATCCAATACACATCCAACTGGTGTAATACGTATTCATGAATGCACTGATATTATTTATACAATTATTACAATATTGTATAATAGTAAATTTTCTGTAATAATGTTGGTAGAATTACCGACAATATGTAAAGTAAAAGGACACAAGTGCAACTAATATGGCATTTTTATTGTGGCAACGTTTAGCTCTCCAGGAGCTTTGTCAAGCCATTACCTACTAACGGCTTGACAAAGTTCCTGGAGAGCGAAACGTTGCCACAATAAAAATGTCACATTAGTTGCACTTGTGTCCTTTTACTTTACAGCAAATTTTCTATTTTTTTGTGTGAATAAAAAATCAAAATGAATTCATGTGTAAAGCCTGGAAGCATAACTAATGAAGAGGAAATGTTATTTTAGTGCCAGAAATGCCTGCACTGTTTATTTTGGACTATTTTAAAACTGGAATATTTTGAAATTTGTATGAAATTGGCCAAATTACCAATTTTTGATCACTTTACTGGGTAGCTGATGGGGCATTTTTTGTGCTCAATTGATAAAATGGAAGACATACTAGTGAAATAGCTAAGAATTTGGTCTACTGGAACAATGTAATTGACCTAAAATAGGACTCAGAGCGGACAAAATCGCCGATGTGTAAATACCACTAACGCAGCAAAATACACATAAGTAATTTCATCAATTTTTGTTTTGTTACCTTCAAAAAAGGTTCTCTACCATTTCTTTTTTTTTTTTTTTTAAATTCTTGAACGCTGTGGACCAGTTTTAGATCTGGGGTCTGGACAATGACAGGGTTAAGAGACAACTCATTATATATTATTATTTATGTGTGATGAATAGCAAAGATCCTTACCTATATTAAATGCAATATAAGGTTGAACTGCTACACTTGAATAAATCAGGAAAGTATCTTAAGTGACATTTCAAAATATCCTTCAAGCTTTGAGAATCTCTACTGGTGGTAACACTTGGGATAAGCAACAGTTGGTCTATAGGGTTACAGCACTGGTAATATCAAGAAGCAAAATAAGGTCTTCATGGCAAACTAATCAAGCCACGAAGTACGTACACAAAGTGAATACCTTTTCAACTTCAACATTTGGCTGGAATCTCCATTTACCAAGCTGTGGGTAAGAGGATAATGGATGATGTATCCTACACTTGGAAATAATAACTTTTTATAAGTCAAGTTTTTTGTGTATAAGCCGAGTAATATGATGTTTACATAGCAACCACGTTTGGCATATTTATGAGTGAGTGTGTAGAAAAGTCACATTTTTTCATTAACTAAACCTACATAACCCTTTTCAAGCTTATTGTAGTGGATTTAATTGTTTAAAAATATATTAAAGGTAGTTTTATAGTCAACTTCAAACAGATTGATTTAAAATTTCATCTAATACACAGTACTTAATAAATTACAGCAAATTAATATTTCCTTAAAAGCATGGTGAATGTTTTTTGTACAGCCTAACACAAAGTTTATAACTAGGAGTTTGTTACTGAAGTTAATGACAAGAAAAACTAATGATACTAAGTACAGACTAGCTTAAGGTAATAAAATAACAGAAAATTGTAAAACATGAAGCTGCAGGTCAAATGGAATGTAAAATAGCAAAAAAAGTGATTGTAGGATGTATAAATACCACTCTGATTGATAAAACTTATGATAATCCCAATGTATAAGCTTATACAAAATGCATCAATTAAAAATGGAGAAATTACAGGAATATATCTTTGCACATTTAGGGAGGCATAGTATGTATCAGTGACTCATGAACTATGAAAGACCTCTTTTATGAATGAATAAGGGGCACGTTTGGAAAAGAAAAATGGTGAAGATTTTGTTCACTTAAATACTTTTTATGTAAGTGTATTATATAATTAATGAATTATATAAAGCTAAGTTAACATTTCCAGAGTACAGTGGCTAGCACACTGGTCTTGAAAGTGAGACAACCTGGACTCAATTCATAGGTAGTGTGGAAAAATTGGGGCAAAGATCTTTTATTAACTTTATCCCTATGCATCTACAAATAATTGGGGACCTGGATGTACATCAATTAGCAGATTATATTCTGTGGGTGAAAAAAACAAAGGTTAGGCTTTATCATGACTGAGGTAAGAAAGTTATGCCTGAAACATGTAAGCACAGGCATCTCCAGTTTTACTTAGGTACCTTTTATGAGCTCTTGGTTCTTTATGGCATGAATTAAACACTTAAATACTTTCAAGAATTTACAAATGGTGCAAGTGTATGAGTAAATATTGTTTTAATTGAGTGGGGAGTATTAAGGTGAAGAAACTACTGTTGAACTGGACATCTTAATACATCTTCAAATGAGAATGGCATAATGTTGAAAAAAACAATGTGGGAGAAATAAGTAAAGGAGATGGAGATATAAACTCGCATTTAACCATTAATGATATTTTGTTTGGAGAATTTTTGGCACTGGTAATATTCATGAGGGATCTGTAACAGATGAAAAGTTAATGAATAAATTATTGAAGTCTTTGGCTACATCCATAGTAGCACCAACTAACAAATTAACAAATCCACAACTAACTCAAAATTTGAAAAGGAAACTTTAGACATTTTCATAATAGCTCAGGAAAGACTAAAACACTCAAGTTTCCTTTTCATATTGTGTGTTAGTTGTGAATTGTTTCAGCATGGTAATGTGACTTTGATTTTTCATAAACAAATCCCAAAACATGCAAGTAATATGTAAGTTTTGAGCTACTCTGTATATGGAACTTCATTAAGATGAATGAAGAACAGAACTAATAGACTTGGATCAATCAAAAGATAGAGGGATAGTTGAAAAGATAAAATTTACTTTACTAACTGATTAATAAAGACTGATAAATAGACACAAATCATAAAGTACTACACAGACTGATAGTACATTTCCCTAGGCGCTCTCTATGACCAGCCAGCTGAAACTTTTTTTTTTACTAAGCAGCAACAATATAAATAGATTAATAAATACCTTTTCTATGCCGAATTTTACTTTTCATTCATTAGTAATATTTTTCTTTCTTTTTCTTTCAACGTACCAGCCGCATCCCACCGAGGTGGGGTGGCCCAAAAGGAAAAACAAAAGTTTCTCCTTTTACATTTAGTAATATATACAGGAGAAGGGGTTACTAGCCCCTTGCTCCCGGCATTTCAGTCGCCTCTTACAACATGCATGGCTTACGGAGGAAGAATTCTGTTCCACTTCCCCATGGAAATAAGAGGAAATAAACAAGAACTAGAAAGAAAATAGCAGAAAACTCAAAGGGGTGTGTGTATATATATGCTTGTACATGTATGTATGTATGTGTATATGTATATGTATATGCAAGTATATGGAATAGGTGGTAAGTTACTAAATGCTGTAAAAAGTTTTTATGAGGATAGTGAGGCTCAGGTTAGGGTGTGTAGAAGAGAGGGAGAATACTTCCCAGTAAAAGTAGGTCTTAGACAGGGATGTGTATTGTCACCATGGTTGTTTAATATATTTATAGATGGGGTTGTAAAAGAAGTAAATGCTAGGGTGTTTGGGAGAGGGGTGGGATTAAATTATGGGGAATCAAATTCAAAAAGGGAATTAACACAGTTACTTTTTGCTGATGATACTGTGCTTATGGGACATTCTAAAGAAAAATTGCAAAGGTTAGTGGATGAGTTTGGGAATGTGTGTAAAGGCAGAAAGTTGAAAGTGAACATAGAAAAGAGTAAGGTGATGAGGGTATCAAATGATTTAGATAAAGAAAAATTGGATATCAAATTGGGAGGAGGAGTATGGAAGAAGTGAATGTTTTCAGATACTTGGGAGTTGACGTGTCAGCGGATGGATTTATGAAGGATGAGGTTAATCATAGAATTGATGAGGGAAAAAAGGTGAGTGGTGCATTGAGGTATATGTGGAGTCAAAAAACGTTATCTATAAAGGCAAAGAAGGGAATGTATGAAAGTATAGTAGTACCAACACTCTTATATGGGTGTGAAGCTTGGGTGGTAAATGCAGCAGCGAGGAGACGGTTGGAGGCAGTGGAGATGTCCTGTCTAAGGGCAATGTGTGGTGTAAATATTATGCAGAAAATTCGGAGTGTGGAAATTAGGAAAAGGTGTGGAGTTAATAAAAGTATTAGTCAGAGGGCAGAAGAGGGGTTGTTGAGGTGGTTTGGTCATTTAGAGAGAATGGATCAAAGTAGAATGACATGGAAAGCATATAAATCTATAGGGGAAGGAAGGCGAGGTAGGGGTCGTCCTCGAAAGGGTTGGAGAGAGGGGGTAAAGGAGTTTTGTGGGCAAGGGGCTTGGACTTCCAGCAAGCGTGCGTGAGCATGTTAGATAGGAGTGAATGGAGACGAATGGTACTTGGGACCTGACGATCTGTTGGAGTGGAGCAGGGTAATATTTAGGAAGGGATTCAGGGAAACCGGTTATTTTCATATAGTCGGACTTGAGTCCTGGAAATGGGAAGTACAATGCCTGCACTTTAAAGGAGGGTTTGGGATATTGGCAGTTTGGAGGGATATGTTGTGTATCTTTATACGTATATGCTTCTAAACTGTTGTATTCTGAGCACCTCTGCAAAAACAGTGATTATGTGTGAGTGTGGTGAAAGTGTTGAATGATGATGAAAGCATTTTCTTTTTGAGGATTTTCTTTCTTTTTTGGGTCACCCTGCCTCGGTGGGAGACGGCCGACTTGTTGGAAAAAAAAAAAAAAAAAAAAAAAAAAAAAAAAAAAAACATGTATGTGTAGTGTGACCAAAGTGTAAGTAGAAGTAGCAAGACGTACCTGAAATCTTGCATGTTTATGAGACAGAAAAAAGAACACCAGCAATCCTACCATCATGTAAAACAATTACAGGCTTTTGTTTTACACTCACTTGGCAGGACGGTAGTACCTCCCTGGGCGGCTGCTGTCTGCCAACCTACTACCTAGGATTAATAATAATTTTTTTTTTTCAACAAGTCGGCCGTCTCCCACCTAGGCAGGGTGACCCAAAAAAGAAAGAAAATCCCCAAAAAGAAAATACTTTCATCATCATTCAACACTTTCACCACACTCGCACATTATCACTGTTTTTGCAGAGGTGCTCAGAATACAACAGTTTAGAAGCATATCCGTATAAAGATACACAACATATCCCTCCAATAAATAAATAAATAAATAAATAACACATTCAACTTCTCCTTAATTACTGTGAAAAAATGACTCATAACATTGGGTTTCCTTTGAACAAGTCCATATATTTCTTTACTTCAAAGTGTTTTATATGCACAATCCTCACCAAAAAAAAAAAAAAAAAATACCAACCTTCTCTTCTCCATAAGTAATATTGTATCCTGATATTAGTCATCCTGAGTCTTCTACAGATATATGAAAAACTTTATAAAAATAAATGACCAAGAGTGAATGTCTGACCTCTTGAGTGATGGGGCTATATCATCCACAGCTGAGTTAGTTTCATTGGCCAAGCGAAGAGCAAGCTCATGGTCTCTTCGTTCCTGCTCCTCTTGCTGGGCCAGGCACTCAGATTCAGCTTCCTCCTTGGCCAACTGAATCTGTATTGAGAAAAATATGCATGATACTTGTAATTTAAATAATGTCTGCAAGAAACAGTAGTCACTTACAAATGGAGTACAATGTCTTAGGAATGGGAGTGGTAAGGGGTAATCATATTGGATCTTAGGAAGGAGGAAGTAACCCCAATTCCATGAATCAAGAACTTTTTAACAGCTTCTAGGTGTACCCCTCTTCCCTCCTCCTTGAAGGATGAATTATAAAATCTTGTAATTTTCCATAATTGATTATGGTTTCTCTAATGACTCTCCCAGAACAGTGCTGATTTATAACAATTAATTAATTATAGCTAAATAAATAACAAATTAAAAAAAGGTAAATTACATAGTTTAAGTATCTGAAAGATGTATGAAATCAAATTTACTTACAGTAGATAAAATACAGCACACTTAAACTATAATATACATTCAGTAGTCACTTCATTAGGTACACTTGCTTGTTAATGCAAATACCTAATCCACTAATCACATGAAAGCACTTCAATGCATAAAAGCAAGCAGACATGGTCAAGCAGTTCAGTTGCTGCTCAGACCAAACATCAAAGTCTAAGTGACTTTGACGGTGGAATGAGTGTTGGTGCCAGATGGGGTAGTTTGAGTATCTCAGAATTTAGTGTAAAAAATAGAGATGTGGTGAAACAGGAGGTTCAAAGCATGAAAGTGCAGCCAACAAATCTGTTGCAGCTGCATGATGCTAACATGTCAACATGGACCAGAACCTCTAAGGAATCTTTCTAGCACCCTGTTGAATCCATGCCACACTTTTCGGGACTTAACAAGCTGTCGAGTGTAAGCAGGGTAACGTTTTATGAACGGATTCTGGGAAACCAGTTTGCATTAATCTACTGAAAGTAGAAACTACCTCCCTCCCTCCTCTACAAAAATCAAAAGGTGCTCTATTATTACCATTCTATACATGGAGCTAGTATGGCAACTAACCTGTAAAGCTTCAGCTGCTTTCCGGTCTTCCTCCTCCTGTTTGCGACGCAGCACCTCTTCTTGCTTACGCCGAGCTTCCATTTCAGATTTTCTGAAAATAATAGGGTTGTGGTGAAGAACAAATATTTTCATATTTTCTTCTGTAGAAGCTAAGTATCTTTAAGTGATAAAAACTATCATATTAGATCGCTGAAGGAGTGAGATTCTTACAGGTAATATTACTTGCCCTTCAATAGCATTTCATAATCCCTCTTTTCTATATCAGTTTTGTTGGAGGTGGAAAAGGCCTGCCTTGCCAGTGTCACATTCCCTCTTCCCTCTTACTCTGATCAGTTCTTTGTCATATTGCTATAGAGAAGTTTTGCATTATAGATTCCAGCAACTTACCACCTTTCTAAACCCCTGGGTAGGTCCCAAGTCTTCCAGTTTGTATTTCAGTGTTTAAAATTCCATACTATTATTTAGCCCTTGTTCTGTTTGCTGTCTCTGTAATATTTTAATATTTATTATTGCTGGATTGGGCATGTTATATTTCTGCCTGAGTCTTCTGCTATTTTGTAGTGGATAGTAGATGACAGTAATAAATATTTTGGGATCCTTCATAATAATTAAACAGCTATGCACTTAACAATTCATCACATCCTATAATAAGCATTTCTTCAAATCTCCTAATGGGAAAGACTGCACCAATTATCATACTAGACAGCTTGGTTCCTGTAACTGTCATTAGGTCTGGCATTCATCATTTTAATATTTAATTACATTTCTGAATTAAATTAGCAATCCTAACTAAGTCTGGGTACATTACCTTAAAAATTGAGTCCTATATTACTGACAAGTGTCATAAACAATACTGCAAGAACAATGAGAAAGTGCAAAATAAACATAATAAAAATTTGTTATCGAGTAGTTTGGTTTTCTAACATCAAAGTTCTGAACAATATCTCAAATTATTAAGAAAGTCATCACAGAAATAATTCAGGAAAGACATGGGAGGACAGGTTGCATTTATTTGCTCCTAAAAATAGGGTTTTGAGAGGTTCTCAAAGATTAGTCTAGAAGCTACAAAGCATTAAAGGAATACAAGACAAAATATTACATTATATACGAGATTATTTGCTTGAAAGAAAATTATAAACTGAAGAGAAATGTTCTCCTGGGAGAATGCTATCAGTGAAATACCCTAGGGATAAATACTCACCCTGATAATTTAGTAATTTCTATAAAAGCACTTGCCAGATGGAATAAAGCTCTATATAAACACACTATATAATGTTGCAGTTTAAAAACTGTAGTGTAAAGCACCCTTCTGGCAAGACAGTGATGGAGTGAATGATGGTGAAAGTTTTTCTTTTTCAGGCCACCCTGCCTTGGTGGGAATCGGCCAGTGTGTTAATAAAAAAAAAAAAATAAAAATAAACACCTATACGAGAGGCTTTTGTTTTTCTTTTTAGGTCAACCTGCCTCAGTGGGATATGGACGATTTGATGAAAAAAATAAACAAACATCTATGGGAGCAACGGGCTAGTAACCCTTTCTTCTGTATAAATTACTAAATTTAAAAAGAAAAACAAGCTTAAAAAGAAAAATTTTATTCTTCTTATTAGGTCACCTCAGTGGGTTATGGCTGGTTTGTTAAAAAAAATAATGAACATCTATATAAAGATCTAGATAATTCTGTAGTGGGAAGGAAGGCGGGGTAGGGGTCATCCTAGGAAAGGATGGAGAGAGGGGGTAAAGGTGGTTTTGTGTGCGAGGGACTTGGACATACAGCAGGCATGTGTGTGTTAGACAGGAGTGGAGACAAATGGTTTTTGGAACCTGAGGAGCTATTGGAGTATGAGAAAGGTCATACGTGTGAAGGGATTCAGGGAAAGCAGTTAGCCGGGGATTCAGGGAAAATGGTTAGCTGGACCTGAATCTAGGAGGTGGCAAGTGCAGTGACTGCACTCTAAAGGAGGGGGGTTTGGGATATTTGCTCTTTAGAGGGACATCTACACTGTTGTACCTGCATGCCTCTGGAAAGACAGTGATAGTGTGAATGATGGTAAAAGTGTTTCTTTTGTCAGGTCACCCCACCTCCGTGGGAGGACAGCCAACATGTTAAAAAAAGTAAAACACATTCTGAATATAAAACAGTTCATTATATAATTACTTCTTTCTAATTTCTTCCTCTTCTCTTCTCTTTCTTTCCTCCTCCTCTTTCTTCTTCCTCTCCCTCTCCATTTCTTCTTGAATACGACGGATTCTTTCCTGTTCCTCAGCATTCTTTTGTTGAGTAAGCTTTTTATGCAAGACACTCAGCTCAGCATTCAATGAATTAACAAGACCATTAACTTCCTTATCAATTTCTTCCCGGCTCATAACTGTTGTCTGTTCCAAAATAAAGCAGAGTGCAGGTTCAGAAGTGAATAATATATAGAATACCTAGTAAACAATATAAAAAAAATATCACCTTATTACTGTAATGCTCATTAGTCCATGAGGTAATTCAACTATTTTTTTTTTACTAAGTGGTAGTTATTAATAAAAATGTAGGGTACTAAAAAAATAAAAAACTTCAGATTTATAAACACTCTAAGTTTAAAAACTGCTAATTACAATCCTACCTGTATTTTTGTGATAGTAGCATCCATGTTACCCTCAAGCTTTTTAACTGTTGCTAGTGATGATTCCTTCTCTTTCTTCAGTTGGTTAACAATCCCCAACATTTGCTGCAACTGGCCCTGCAGAAATGCGAGCAATGAAACTAAAACGAAGAAGAGTATTATTTAGCTGAGGAGAATTTTTACTTATATTTTATCATGTTAGATAAGCATGAATGGAGATGAATAGTTTTTGGGACCTCACAAGCTGTTGGAGTGTAAGTAGGGCAATATTTTGTGAAGGGATTCAGGGAAACTGGTTAGCCAGACTTGAGTCCTGGAGATGGGAAGTATTCTGCCTGCACTCTGAAAGGGGGGTGGAGGTGGGAAGTACAGTGCCTGCACTCTGAAAGAGGGGTGGGGGTAGGAAGTACTGTGCCTGCACTATGAAAGGGGGTTGGATGTAGGAAGTACTGTGCCTGCACTCTGAAAGAGGGGTAGGAATGTTGTAGTTTGGGGGTTAGCTGAACTGTGATGTCAGCACACTTCTAGTAAGACAGTGACTAAATGAATGATGATGAGTATTTTCCTCCTTTTTTATTTTTATGCCACCCTACCTTGGTGGGAGATGGCTGGCATGCTAAAAACAACTGTAAAGGTAAATTGATGGAAAATGGAAAAATGGTAAAAACATGCCAGTGTATCAAAAAAGTGATCAGAAGACCAAAAAACTATAGGCTTGTCTCACTGACAAGGGATGTTGTAAAAAAGTTTGATACAACCTTCAGAGAAAAGCAATGCAAATAGAAGTTTATAAGATTTTACCAGTCATCTTGCATGTTCAAACAGGATATGGAATGTGGCACTTTACCTGTAGACTCTTTATCTTGAGAATACCCATGTAGCGTGGCCGGTGCTTTTTCCTTGCATTATACATTTTCACATTCTTTTGAATAATTATAAGCTGCTCACGGCGATACAAGATCTTGTTTCTTACTGAAAAATTGCAAGCATTAAAATCTTAATAAAGTACATCACGGTAAATCATAGATAACATTTTCAAGTTTAGTATACCATTATACCCCAAATTACAGTAACAAATATTCAGCACGTCAAAAATAAAAAACACAAAATGTAATAAAAAAAAAAACCACATCAAGTGATATACATAGGGCCTCGCTTCACAGCGTTTTGCTATACGGCATTCTGATAATACAGCAATTTCAAATTATGACCAAAACTTGCTATACGGTGAGCGGTCTTTCTCATATGGCACGCCCCACCCGGTTTGTTTACATTCTCCGTGAGCACATCTCTCTATTATGTCTGGAAACTTTCCAAAATTTCAAGTGTTTTAAAGTTATTCATATTTTATGTATGTCTAAAATTAAAATTCGTTACCTATACCTAATATTACTTACACACATGCTTGTGTAGACACACTTTAAACCTAAACGTTCCAACGTATATATAACGTTTTTCAACTCGAAAATTTAAAAATGTAGAACTTCTTTTTTGGGTATTTTTAAGGTAAAAAAAAATTAGACCAGTATTTTTTTTTGTTAAAGACCCCCCATAAACAGTAATGATGACCAATTATTTAATTTATTTATGATAAGTACTTTTGTAGTAGTTGGGCTAAAATTAATAATAAGGATAACTTAGAGAAAAAATTTTGGGATACTCACCTGAATACCTATGAAGTAAAAAATATTTAAACCCGGGCCAACGTAGAGGAAACAGTGAGCCTTAACGAGCTTTATACATCCAGAAGTATGTCCAGGTCCTACTCCAAATTGTTTCCCATTAGAAATAAGGGAAGTAGTTATTTCAGACCTCAAACATACCTACCCTACAAAAAATACATTTGGCACATTTGGAGGTAACGTTTAGGGGTATTATGTAAAAAAGTAGATCTATTTTTTGTAGCACTACGAATTTGAACTCGATCTGTTTGGACCGTTCAAGGGTTTAAAATCCAAAGGGTCTCTCTATTTTTGAGCCATATAATAATACGTTATCTTTTTGGGTTTTATTAAACGTAAAAATTTTTACTTTAAAACACATTTCCTTAATCTACTATAATTTTTTTTTCTTAAAAATTTATGTAATAAACACACTATGTAACATATAAACATAATAAATACATCCCACAGTAGAATAAATTAACATAAATATGAGATGTGGTAGCAAGGTGACTTGTAGTCCAACATCACAGAAAATGTGTACACTACAATATTACAGGGGGTAACTAGAAAATTATTCCTTTCATACGTAAGTTTATTCAGGTATACACAAATACAGTTACATAGATTATCATACATAACAGCATGTGTAGAGAACCTAGGATAACCCACAAGTCAGGCAAAGTGACTTATTTCCACATGCCTTCACTCAGAGCGTCACTTCTTTTAGAAATGGTGTTACATGAGAATGGGAGTGTTTTCCTTTATTTATTCTACTGTATCAATGTGGAGACAACTTATACACAATGTAAAGTGTTTTTATTTAATAGAACTAACTTTTAATCTTCAGCAAGACATGCCAGTAATGGATTCTTCATATGTGTATTTAAAATCTGGTAGCCGCTTTCCAGTCTGGGGAATCACTTACATTTAATGGAAGAAAGGGCACACCACTGAGACTTCTTCCATCGTGACTGCAAGAGCCATTTCTTCACCTTGGACACTAGGAGCTGAAGGTTTTCTGGATCACTCTTCATCAACTGATCAAATTCAGCAAACTTGCCTGGTCGAAAGAATACCTTAGTCATGCCAAACTTGAAGTCCTTGTCATCTAGACCAAGAGCCTTGAAGAGTGACTGGAGGAAATACAAGGTTATAAGTTTATGGTAATAAGAATAACCTTGTATAGTATATAAATGCTATGGTAATTATAATACAACTAAACATTTCCTAGTAAAACAAGACTCTTGGGAATAATGCTATATTTCCATGTTTCTGCAAGCAAAATTCAGAGCATGGAACACATACAGAAGCAGCACCTGAAAAAGCATGTTAACCCTTAAACTGTCCAAATGTAGATCTATGTTTGCATGCGTAGCGCTCCGAACGTAGATCTACGTTTTTTACATAAGAAAGAATGTAAAATTGAACATAGATCTATGTTCGGAGCGCTACACGTGTCAACGTAGATCTACGTTTGGACAATTTAAGGGTTAAGAAAATGAAGAAGTGCAGAGTATGTAACAAGGCTTGTTCCTGAGCTGAGGTATAAGCTATGAGGACAGGCTAACAGAACTGGACCTAACGATATTGGAGGACAGAAAAACCAGGGAGGACATGATAACATACAAAATACTCAGGGGAATTGGTAAGGTAGACAGGGATAGGCTATTGAAGAGGTGAGAAATGAGAGCTCGGGGACACTTTTGGAAGTTAAAGACACAGATATTAGGAAGTATTTCTTCAGTCTCACAGTGGTAGGGAAGTGGATCTTGGTGAGGAAGTGATGGAAGCAGGCTCGATAAATACAGGTCTCCCTCAACGTTCGCGTTTTCCACTTTCGCGGGCTTCAAACATTCGCAAATTCCCAGCCGCCCAATCATATTTAAAACATGTCATTACATATGTTAGGAATTGTAGCAATGGCAGAGTTTGTTTGGAGATAGGACGAGATAGTCCTTCAATTTGACACTAATATCAACTCTACAGCTTATTTATCTATCACAATTCATCTGACATAATAAAAAATATTAATCACATAGAAACATGACATATATACTCTAGAATGAATAAAATATATCATTAAGTGTGCCACGAGTGTTGCTGTATTGTTGTTGTTGGGTGTATAAGGACCACTGAGACACAAGCCGTACACAGTAGTGGTTGAGGCGGCAGCAGAGGCGGTAGACTAGAGATGGTGGTGTTGTCAGTCGCCCTATACAACTCCAACAACACTGGAGGAATTAGGTTCGTGTTGTCCTTTTTCTATTGAGTAATCGCTTAACTTACTTGCCACACTGTTAATGCTACTCTATCGCTGGTTGGCGCTATAGCTTTTATCGACTTGCGCTGCTTTAGTATCGTACATATCGTAGAATTACTGAAGAAAGAACATTCTCCCCTCTCTTTTCCTCCTCCACTTTGGTACTCTTGCTATGAGTTCTTTCTTGAATTCTATAGTTTTTCTCACCTTCTTTACCAAAGGGCTGGTACTAGTACGTACAATATTTTATGATGTTTTCACGTGTTTTATGATTGTTCATGGTTCAATTGGTTAAGGAAGCAGTATTGTATTATATTTCCCAATATATTGAGGCACCAAATATTCGCGATTTTTCAATATTCGCGAGGTTTTTGATCCCCTAACCCTTGCAAATGTTGAGGGAGACCTGTAGTTGGAAAAGCAGGTACAATAGGCCCCACCATGTTAAGAGGGATTGAATTTGAAGAGTGACAAGTTAAAAGACAGGATCAGGATCTGTAAATCAACCCCTGCAACCACAAGTATATATGTGAGGAAGGTAACATTATGAAGGGGGGTTCAGGAAAACAAGCTAGTTGGACATGAATGTTGGAAGTGGGAAGTACAGCACCTGCACTCTCAATGAAATGCAGGGATGTTGTAACTTGGAGGGTAATTTGAATTATGAATCTGTTGTTTTTCTGGCAATACCACTAATTAATGAGTGATGGTGAATATGAATAGTGTATTCCTTTCAGTCCCCCTAACATAGTAAAAATGGCCAATGTGAAAAAAACTCACTGAAGGAATGGTTAAATTATTCACCTGCAATATAACACAGTATAAGATGCCAATAAACCAGTTATTTTTATATAGTCGGACTTGAGTACTGGAAATGGGAAGTACAATACCTGCACTTTAAACGAGGGGTTTGGGATATTGGCAGTTTGGAGGGATATGTTGTGTATCTTTATACGTATATGCTTCTAAACTGTTGTATTCTTGGCACCTCTGCAAAAACAGTGATTATGTATGAGTGAGATGAAAGTGTTGAATGATGATGAAAGTATTTTCTTTTTGGGAATTTTCTTTCTTTTTGTTTCTCCATGCCTCAGTGGGAGATGGCAAACTTGTCAAAAAAAAAAAAAAAAAAAAAAAAAAAAAAAAAAAAAAATTAAACATCCTAAATATTAGGTAAATTCCATGAAAAATGACAATTTTTTTTCTCAACACACTGGCTGTCTCCCACCAAAGCAAGGTGACCCAAAAAAAAGAAACATTTTCACCATGATTCACACATGATCACTCTGCAGAGGAATGCAGATAAAACAGTTCAGATGTCACTCCAAACAGCAAATATCCTAAACGCCTCCTTTAAAATACAAGCACTGTACATTTCACCTCCAGGACTCAAGTCCGGTTTACCGGTTTCCCTGAATCCCTTCATAAAATATTACCCTGCTCACACTCCAACAGCTCGTCAAGTCCCAAAAACGATTCGTACCATCAGAAATATACTATATTAATAGACCCCAAGGTCTCTCATGTTGCAATATTGTATTTATGTACAATATTTATGAACAAAAACATGCAAGATTTCATGTAGATCTTGCTACTTCTACTCACGCTTGGGTCACACTACACATGCATGTACAAGTATATATACACACCCCTCTGGGTTTTCTTCTATTTTCTTACTAGTTCTTGTTCTTGTTTATTTCCTCATATCTCCATGGGGAAGTGGAACAGAATTCTTCCTCTGTAAGCCATGTGTGTCATAAGAGGCGACTAAAATGCCAGGAGCAATGGGCCAGTAACCCCTTCTCTTGTATACATTACTAAAGTTAAAAATAGAAACGTTTGTTTTCTTTTTGGGCCACCCTGCTTCGATGGGATATGGCTGGTTTGTTGAAAGAAGAAAGATAAGCCGTTTCCCACAGAGGCAAGGTAACCTGAAAAAGAGGAAACACTTTCATCATCAATGATTCCATCACTGTCTTGCCAGAGGTGCACCTACACTACAGTTAAAAAATTGCAACATATCAACACCTCTCCTTCCAAGTGCAAGCATTATACTTCCCACCTCCAGGACTCAAGTCCGGCTAACTGGTTTCTCTGAATCTCTTCATGAATGTTACTATGCTCACACTCGAAGAGCACATCAAGTCATAAAAACCATTCGTCTCCATTCACTCCTAACATGCTCGTGCACACTTGCTGGAAGTCATAGCCCCCAACACACAAAATGTCATTTATCTCCTACTTCCGACCTTTCCTAGGACGACCCCTACCCCGCCTTCCTTCCACTACAGATTTATGAGCCCTCCAAGTCATTCTATTTTGCTCCATCCTCTTTAAATGTCCAAACCACCTCAACAACCTTTCTTCTGCCCTTTGGATAATATATTTAGAAACCCCACACCTCCTAATCCCCAAGCTATGGATTCTCTTCATTATATTCACATCGTACATTGCCCTCAGACACCACATCACTGCCTCCAGCCTTCTTGCTGCAACATTCACCACGCATGTTTCACACCCATATAGGAGCGTTGGTACCCCTATACTCTCATACAATCCCCTCTTTGCTTTCATGGATAATATTCGTTGTCTCCTCAGTACTCCACTCACCTTTTTCATCTTCATCAATTCTATGATTCACCTCATCTTTCATAGACCCATCTGCTGACAAGTCCACTCCCAAATATCTTAATACATTCACTTCCTCCATACTCCCTCCCTCCAATCTGATATCCAATCTTTCATTACCTAAATTTTTTGTTATCCTCATCACCTTTCTCTTTCCCACGTTCAATTTTAATTTCCTTCTTGTACATACCCTTTCAAACTCATTCACCAACCTTTGCAATTTCTCTTCAGAATCTCCCAAAGCACAGTGTCATCACCAAAAAGCAACTGTGGCAATTCCCACTTTGTGTTCGATTCTTTATCTCTTAATTCCACACCTCTTGCCAACACTCGAGCATTCTTTATGTGTATACAAAACACTTCATTACCTTTTATCTAGTATACTGCTCCAATTTATTTGCTCTGAAAAACTTTTATCCAGAACTATTACTTCTAACTCTTTCAAATACTACAGTAAAAAATTAATGTTAGATTTTTACATGGCATACCTTACAGAAAAGACGGGGGTCTAGCCTGGCAAGCTGAGCAGGTAGATAACTTTTATACATATTGTAGAGGTCATGGAAAGGTGCACGGGAAGGATAGCCCTGTTGCATGAGTTCCAAGACCGAGGTCATTCCTGAGCACTGAAGTTGTGATAGGATTGGTCCTCCTTCAAGTCATGATCCACCATATTGACATTTGGTTTGATGCATCGAATGAAGTTGGTTCCCTGCCAAAACATAAAAGAAAAATATTATTAAAGTTTAAATACCCTGTAATTAACTCTCTTACAAGTTTACAAAATATACCTACACAAGCAACTAGTGAACAGGGAACTGTGGAAGTATACCAGTGTCTTCAAATGTCATTGTATGTGTCTGACAAAACTTAAAGCAAAGTATACTTCTTCATTTAATAAATATGCAGATATCATGGTATCAATTTATATCCTCTGATATGGAGCACTATTGTTTTAATCAACTCTATATACTGTATACCAAACTTTCCTTCCGCTATCTGCATTTTTCTCTCTCTCACTTTCTTCTAATTTACTTTTATACTAATACAGTATATAGAAGTAAAGAATTAAGGACAATAATAAAAAAAGACATTGTGAGTACTCACTGTGCTGGATAATTTATCCATAAGCTCTTGAAGCTGGGATCTAAATTTAGAAGCTACAGAGATAAAAGAGAGTTTTCCCCGTGCTGAATGACTCTCAACAGATGCAGCAAACAAGCCTTGGATAAACTTATTCTGTGCCTCCTGCACAAGAGCTTCTAGCGATGCATGAAGAGCATCATTATTCTTCTCCAAAAACTGTGCCTGTAAAAATTAAGTTACATAAAAGAATAAGATCAATTTAAAGGACTTAAAATATAAAATCCTAAAGTATTATCGTAGTTTTTATTAACTGCTAATTATTTCTGTTTTTTTTTTGAACTTACAGCTGTGTGTATACAGTATTTTAATTTTTATTGACTATAGTATTTCAGACTTTTTCCAAGTCATAGCAATAAACAACTGTTTACAATAGCAGGTCAAAGAAAAATGAGACACCAAGATTTTTTTATTACCCTGCTCACATGTGTGTCACCACTCTTATGAGGAATAAAAAAAAAAAAGTGGATTTGTAAAAACTTTGTCTAATGAAAGACATGAAGCAGAGAAGCAAGGCTGTAGCCCATTTAAAAATAAGTGTAAAGGTTTCAGTGATTATGATAGAGCTTTTAATTGTTCTGCTCTTTCAATTAATTTGTTGGTCTTATGATCCCATCTATGTTTGTATACAAAATACATACATACACATTACTGTGATGTACATTGCTATTTGGGAAAGGTAGACTGAGAACACTGAAAACTGATGTTGGAGGGTAGCAGAATTTGGACAGAATGGGCGAGATAAGAGCATTTTCTGTGAATGACTGATGCTGGAGTGGAATAAGTATGGATGGACGATATACAGGTAGTGCACAGGAAAGGTAGGCCTGAAGATTGGCAATTAATGGGTGAAAAAAGGAACGAATAAGGAAGAGGTATGTGGTTTAAATAATTTACAATGAGGATCATGTTTTTTATTTTTATTGAACATTCTGATTAGTTTTCAAATTGCTGTGTGCACAAGCATGTAAATAAAGCTACATGTCATGCACTCTTTTGATATGACAAAAATTTGCTATAAGCACCAAAAATAAAACCAGTAATGACAAAATGTACACAATATTTTGTTTACTTTTACTCACTGTCTGATAGCACACAGCACCAGCAAAATGCCTGATAAGAAAGCCTTCATCATCCCTGATTTCTCTGTGGTCTCTCAGCTTGCTCTTGCGGGGCAAAGCCAAACGGAAGTGATTGGTGTGGTTGTTATGGACAGCTGCAGTGAAGTGTGTATGGGATGACTTAGGCAGTTTACTTTCTTCATCCAATAAGCTGATGATTCCAGAACCTTTGGCTTCAATCACATCTAAAGTACAAGTGAAACAGGAAACACTAACGTAGAGCAAATATAATTATCTTTCACATAGTATATGTAGCTTGTGTACTAATATACAGTACCTAATTCAATCCATTCAGTGCAGATGTCCCACATAAACAATATGAATTATTTTTCCTATATTGTAATGTACTGCAACTGCACTGTATAAGGCCAAGTACACTGACATACACCTCAAGACAATAGGAAGGATTTTTCTTTTTTAACACGTTGGCCATCTCCCACTGAGGCAGGGTGACCCAACAAAGAAAAACCCTTTCACCATCATTTACACATAATCACTGTCTTTGCAGAAGTGCTCAGATAGGGCACTTCAGATGTCACTCCAAACAGCAAATATCCCAAACCCCTCCTTTAAAGTGTAAAGCGCAGACAGTGTACTTCCCACCTCCAGAACTCAAGCCTGGATAACTGGTTTCCCTGAATCCCTTCACAAAATATTACCCTGCTCACACTCCAACAGCTCATCCAGTCCCAAAAATCATCTATCTCCATTCACTCCTATCTAACACACTCACACATGCCTGCTGTATGTCCAAGCCCTTGTACACAAAACCTCTTTTACCCTCTCCCTCCATCCTTTCCTAGGACAACCCCTACCCCTCCTCCCCTCCACTACAGACTTATACACCCTCCAAGTCATCCTATTTTGCTCCATCCTCTCTAAACGACCAAACCCACCTCAGCTACCCTTCCTCAGCCCTCTGAATAATACTTTTAGTAACTCCACACCTCCTCTGAATTTCCACAATGTAAATTCTTTGCATAATATTTACACCACACACTGCCCTTAGACATGAAGGATATTTATGCATTGGAATTTATTTATTATCCCACAAAGTTTTACTTTATGGGTTTGCAGTACTTTTTAACTTTGTTAGGACAATATTGATAAATTGGCATACAGTGATAGAGTGAATAACAGTGAAAGTGCTTATTCTTTTTGGTCACCCTACCTTGGTGAGAGAGAACCAGTGTTAAAAAATAAAAACTACAATATAAATACAAATACTGCACTATAAAACATCTGCATGCATATGATGTAGGTCAGATTCTGGAGTCCAAGGGATGGTAACAAATACTAATTTGAAATTACCTATTTGTAACTACAGCAGCAGAGCTATTTCCAGAGTGTCCCATCTACATTACCATGCTCATCAATGATTTTTAAAAAATTCCAATGGTTGTAGCACTTTCTTCCTCTGCAACTGATTCCATTCTGCTACCACCCTATTTGTCAAATAAACTTTCCTAGTATCCCTTTGATTTTTTTTTCATATTTTAGATTAATGACCTCTTATCTCTGTTGAAGCTGCCAAAAAACATCTTAATCTATTCATTCACATTTTTTTTACCTCAATGGCTGCCTCTTGCCAAGGAAGGGTTACCCAGAGAAGAAAAAGAACATTCACTATCATTCATTCAGTCACTGTCTTGCCAGAAGTGTGCTGATTACCCACCAACTGCAAGCTCTCCAACTTTCCTTCAGAGTTCACACACTGCTATTCTTACATTTTTTGTTTTAACACATCGGCTGTTTCCCACCAAGGCAGAGTGATCAAAAAAGAAAGAAAAACCCAAAAAGAAAGAAAAATACCTCCATCATCATTCAACACTTTTGCCATCACTCGTACATAATCTTGGGGCGAGTATAACACCAGGCACATCTCCTGAAGTGCACATCAACCAAATAACTGCTGCAGCATATGGGCGCCTAGCAAACCTCAGAACAGCATTCCGACATCTTAATAAGGAATCGTTCAGTACCCCGTACACCATGTACGTTAGGTCCATATTGGAGTACGCAGCACCAGTTTGGAACCCACACCTAGCCAAGCACGTAAAGAAACTAGAGAAAGTGCAAAGGTTTGCAACAAGCCTAGTCCCAGAGCTAAGAGGTATGTCCTACGAGGAGAGGTTAAGGGAAATCAACCTGACGACACTGGAAGACAGGAGAGATAGGGGGGACATGATAACAACATACAAAATACTGAGAGGAATTGACAAGGTGGACAAAGACAGGTTGTTCCAGAGATGGGACACAGCAACAAGGGGACACAGTTGGAAGTTGAAGACACAGATGAATCACAGGGATGTTAGGAAGTATTTCTTCAGTCACAGAGTAGTCAGGAAGTGGAATAGTTTGGGAAGCGATGTAGTGGAGGCAGGATCCATACATAGCTTTAAGCAGAGGTATGATAAAGCTCACGGTTCAGGGAGTGTGACCTAGTAGCGACCAGTGAAGAGGCGGGGCCAGGAGCTTGGACTTGACCCCTACAACCTCAACTAGGTGAGTACTGTCTTTGCAGGGACGCTCAGATACGACAGTTTAGAAGTCCCTCCAAACTACCAATATCCCAAACCCCTCCTTTAAAGTGCAGGCATTGTACTTCCCATTTCCAGGACTCAAGTCCAGCTAACTGGTTTCCCTGAATCCCGTCATAAAATATTACCCTGCTTACACTCCAACAGCTCGTCAGGTGTCAAAAACCATTTGTTTCCATTTACTCCTATCTAACACACACACACACATGCTTGCTGGAAGTCCAAGCCCCTCGCCCACAAAACCTTCTTTACCCCCTCCCTCCATCCTTTTAATAATCCTTTAATAATCTTGTATGTTGTTAGCGTATCTCCTTTTATCCTTCTGGCCTAATGCATTGCTTTTTCAGAAGGTTTTTATCCATATATTTGAAAGCTTCTTATAGTATAGTAGGACAGCAAAGTCTTGATTAGTATGAAGTGGAACAGTACAAAATTCGATTTAGTACAAATTATAAAATGATACCAGACCTCAATTAATGCAAGTCAAAATTTGGTTAGTAAGAGTCTACTGCCCACCTAACTTGCCCAATTGTCAGTAGGGCTGTCTGTTGTCGTGTCCTGATGTACAGCAGCTTGTTATCCTATACACGTTTACAGTACTATATTTTAAATTTTAATAAACTGCCCTTAGCAAATATTGACAAACGGAAAAATACTTATGGTGCAAATAATGCAAGCACAAGCACATGGAAACAGCAACTCTAAAATAGGCTGAGATGTTGGAATGCATGAATCTAATGGTATGTAAGAGTATAAAACACGCAGATGAAACAAAAGAAAAAGGTACAGTCTCATCAGTTTTTTGTGGTTTGCAAACTACTTGAAATCCCTAGACACAAACAATTTTCAGCATAAAATTCTAAAGATAGTTTGCTTACAACAGGCCCTGCACCGAAGGCAGAGGCAATCATGTCTCACAGGATGGTACATTAGTAAATTACAAATCATCACACAAGAGACTTAACATTATAATGTATTTTTCAAAATGTACAATAATTTAAGTACAGTAGTCTATTATTCAAAACAAAACTTACCAATACAGTCCTGGTTATCAACATAGGAGATTTTTCTTACACCTAATCCCTCCTTTTCATACAGTGCCTGTTCTTCTTTTAAGATACGTTCATTGAAGAACATCTGTAGCTTTTCATTGCAGTAGTTAATACAGAACTGCTCAAAGCTGTTAACCGGGAAATACTCTGATGAAGAAAAAATAAGACAGTATAAATTTAATTATAGTATTTGAAATACAGTACAATATTTATCTGCTTGAGTAATGCTACAATAACAATACAAAAAAAAAAAAGTATATGGAGTACATGTGAAGTGGGGATATTCAACTGAATTATGCTTGGAAAGAAATTCGACATTGATTTACCGGCAACTGATTGTCTGTGACCAGGCTCCCGCGGCCTGGTCACAGACTGGGCCGCGGGGGCGTTGACCCCCGGAACTCTCTCCAGGTAAACTGCCAAAACAGTTTATTTGGCAGCAACAGATGGCCTCGTATGTAGTGCATGCTCACTTATACTGTTTGCAATGCAGTTGATGGCTGTGATCCCCTAATTTTGTGTGATTCTTAGCATAGTGTTTGCAATGCAGTTGATGGCTGTGATCCCCTAATTTTGTGTGATTCTTAGCATAGTGTATTTTGCTAACAGTTAACCCTAGCTGTGGTGTGCGATTAGCCCAGCAACTCCAGTAAAATTCTAAAATTTACCACTTTGGGAGTAGCAGTAGTATTGCAATACTCTTTGTATGCTTTAAACACGCTGCATCTCCCAAAGATAATGTTTAATTCAAGTTTCCAGTAGACCATGGTGAATCAGAGGAGTTTGTTGAATTATTATTATTATATGACCTCTGTTGGTTCAACAAATTGATGTATACAGGAGGGCCCCACTTTACAGCATTTCACCAATAAAGTGGTTTTCAATTATTTTTTATTTTTTTTATTAACACACTGGCCGATTCCCACCAAGGCAGGGTGGCCTGAAAAAGAAAAACTTTCATCATCATTCTCTCCATCACTGTCTTGCCAGAAGGGTGCTTTACACTACAGTTTTTAAACTGCAACATTAACACCCCTCCTTCAGAGTGCAGACTGTACTTCCCATCTCCAAGACTCAACGTCCGGCCTGCCGGTTTCCTGAATCCCTTCATAAATGTTTACTTTGCCCACACTCCAACAGCACATCAAGTATTAAAAAACCATTTGTCTCCATTCACTCCTATCAAACATGCTCACGCATGCCCGCTGGAAGTCCAAGCCCCTTGCACACAAACCTCACATTGCACACAAAACACACATTGCCCTCAGACATGACATTTCCACAGCCTCCAGCCTTCTCCTCGCTGCAACATTCATCACCTATGCTTCACACCTATATAAGAGCATTGGTAAAACTATACTCTCATACATTCCCCTCTTTGCCTCCAAGGACAAAGTTCTTTGTCTCCACAGACTCCTAAGTGCACCGCTCACCCTTTTCCCCTCATCAATTCTATGATTCACCTCACCTTTCATAGACCCATCCGCTGACACGTTCACTCCCAAATATCTGAATACATTCACCTCCTCCATACTCTCTCCCTCCAATCTGATATCCAATCTTTCATCACCTAATCTTTTTGTTATCCTCATAACCTTACTCCTTCCTGTATTCACTTTTAATTTTCTTCTTTTACATACCCTACCAAATTCATCCACCAATCTCTGCAACTTCTCTTCAGAATCTCCCAAGAGCACAGTGTCATCAGCAAAGAGCAACTGTGACAATTCCCACTTTATGTGTGATTCTTTACCTTTTAACTCCACGTCTCTTGCCAAGACCCTTGCATTTACTTCTCTTACAACCCTATCTATAAATATTTTGAACAACCACGGTGACATCACACATCCTTGTCTAAGGCCTACTTTTACTGGGAAATAATCTCTCTCTTTTCTACATACTCTAACTTGAGCCTCACTATCCTCATAAAAACTCTTCACTGCTTTCAGTAACCTACCTCCTATAAAATACACCTGCAACATCTGCCACATTGCCCCCCTATCCACCCTGTCATATGCCTTTTCCAAATCCATAAATGCCACAAAAACCTCTTTAGCCTTATTTAAATACTGTTCACTTATATGTTTCACTGTAAACACTTGGTCCACACACCCCCTACCTTTCCTAAAGCCTCCTTGTTCATCTGCTATCCTATTCTCCATCTTACTCTTAATTCTTTCAATAATAACTCTAACATACACTTTACCAGGTATACTCAAGACTTTTTTTTTTTTTTAACAAGTCGACCGTCTCCCACCAAGGCAGGGTGACCCAAAAAGAAAGAAAATCCCCAAAAAGAAAATACTTTCATCATCATTCAACACTTTCACCTCACTCACACATTATCACTGTTTTTGCAGAGGTGCTCAGAATACAACAGTTTAGAAGCATATACCTATAAAGATACACAACATATCCCTCCAAACTGCTAATATCCCAAAACCCCTCCTTTAGAGTGCAAGCATTGAACTTCCCATATCCAGGACTCAAGTCTGGCTATATAAAAATAACCGGTTTCCCTGAATCCCTTCGCTAAATATTTCCCTGCTCACACTCCAACAGATCATCAGGTCCCAAATACCATTTGTCTCCATTCACTTCTATCGCACACGCTCACGCACTCCTGCTGGAAGTCCAAGCCCCTCACCCACAAAACCTCCCTTACCCCTTCCTTCCAACCTTTTCGGGGATGACCCTTACCCCGCCTTCCTTCTCCTACAGATTTAAATGCTCTTCACGTCATTCTACTTTGATCCATTCTCTCTAAATGACCAAACCACCTCAACAACCCCTCTTCAGCCCTCTGACTAATACTTTTATTAACTCCACACTCCGAATTTTCTGCATAATATTTACACCGCACATTGCCCTTAGACAGGACATCTCCACTGCCTCCAACCGCCTCCTCGCTGCTGCATTCACAACCCAAGCTTCACACCCATATAAGTGTTGGCACAACTATACTTTCATACATTCCCTTCTTTGTCTCCATAGATAATGTTTTTTGACTCCACATATACCTCAACGCACCACTAACCTTTTTTCCCTCATCAATTCTATGATTAACCTCATCCTTCATAAATCCATTTGCCGACATGTCAACTCCCAAGTATCTGAAAACATTCACTTCTTCCATACTCCTTCTCCCCAATTTGATATCCAATTTTTCTTTATCCAAATCATTTGATACCCTCATCACCTTACTCTTTTCTATGTTCACTTTCAACTTTCTACCTTTACAAAACACTCCCAAACTCATCCACTAACCTTTGCAATTTCTCTTTACAATCTCCCATAAGCACAGTATCATCAGCAAAAAGTAACTGTGTCAATTCCCATTTTGTATTTGATTCCACATAATTTAATCACACCCCTCTCCTGAACACCCTAGCATTTACTTCTTTTACAACCCCATCTATAAATATATTAAACAACCATGGTGACATTACACATCCCTGTCTAAGACCTACTTTTACCGGGAAGTAGTCTCCCTCTCTTCTACACACCCTAACCTGAGCCTCGCTATCCTCATAAAAACTCTTTACAGCATTTAGTAACTTACCACCTATTCCATATACTTGCAACATCTGCCACATTGCTCCCCTATCCACTCTATCATATGCCTTTTCTAAATCCATAAATGCAATAAAAACTTCCCTACCTTCATCTAAAATACTGTTCACATATATGCTTCAATGTAAACACTTGATCTACACATCCCCTACCCACTCTAAAACCTCCTTGCTCATCCGCAATCCTACATTCTGTCTTACCTCTAATTCTTTCAATTAAAACCCCTACCGTGCACTTTTCCTGGTATACACAGTAAACTATTCCTCTATAATTTTACAATCTCTTTTGTCCCCCTTCCCTTATATAAAGGGACTATACATGCTCTCTCCATCAATAGGTACCTTCCCCTCTTTCATACATTAAAACAAAAGTACCAACCACTCCAACACTATCCCCTCCTGCTTTTAACATTTCTGTCACAATCCCATCAGTTCCAGCTGCTTTACCCCCTTTCATTCTACGTAATGCCTCGCGTACCTCCCCCACACTTACATTCTGCTCGTCTTCACTCCTAAAAGATGGTATACCTCAATGGCCAGTGCATGAAATTACCGCCTCCCTTTCTTCCTCAACATTTAAAAGTCCTCAAAATATTCTCGCCATCTACCTAATACCTCCCTCTCCCCTTCTACTAACTCCCCTACTCTGTTTTTAACTGACAAATCCGTACATTCCCTAGGCTTTCTTAACTCGTTTAACTCACTCCAAAATTTTTTCTTATTTTCATTAAATTTTCTTGACAGTGCCTCTCCCACTCTATCATCTGCTCTCCTTTTGCACTCTCTCACCACTCTCTTTACCTTTCTTATACTCTCCATATACTCTGCTCTTCTTTTAACACTTTTGCTTCGTAAAAACCTCTCGTAAGCTAACTTTTTCTCTTTTATCACACCCTTTACTTCATCATTCCACCAATCACTCCTCTTTCCTCCTGCCCCCACCCTCCTATAACCACAAACTTCTGCCCCACATTCTAATACTGCATTTTTAAAACTCATCCAACCCTCCTCAACCCCCCCACTACTCATCTTTGCACTAGCCCACCTTTCTTACAATAGTCGCTTATATCTCACCCGAACTTCCTCCTCCCTTAGTTTATACACTTTCACTTCCCTCCTACTTGTTGTTGCCATCTTCCTCTTGTCCCATCTACCTCTTACTCTAACTGTAGCTACAACTAAATAATGATCCGATATATCAGTCGCCCCTCTATAAACATGTACATCCTGGAGCCTACCCATCAACCTTTTATCCACCAATACATAATCTAATAAACTACTTTCATTACGTGCTACATCATACCTTGTATATTTATTTATCCTCTTTTTCATAAAATATGTATTACTTATTACCAAATCTCTTTCAACACATAGCTCAATTAAAGGCTCCCCATTTACATTTACCCCCGGCACCCCAAATTTACCTACTACTCCCTCCATAACATTTTTACCCACTTTAGCATTGAAATCCCCAACCACCATTACTCTCACACTTGGTTCAAAACTCCCCACGCATTCACTCAACATTTCCCAAAATCTCTCTCTCTCCTCTACAAGAATTAATTTCCAGTAGACACTGTGAATGCCAAGACTGAATACCACCACAATGATGAAAATGATAATAGCACAAACCCCTTGATCTTTTTTTTTATATTTATTAACCCGTAAACGGTCCAAACGTATATATACGTTTTTTCAACATTTGAAAGTATGTAAGAAAAGTAGATCTTCTTTTTGTTTTTTTACATTTGAAAATGTGTAAAAAACTTTGATCTACTTTTTTTTTTGTTATATTTGAAAATATGTAAAAAAAACGTAGATCTACTTTTGTAGCACTACACGTGAACGTAGATCTGCTTGGACCATTTACGGGTTAACAAAATAAGCAAAATACAACCGGACAGCATAATTACTTTTGCATTTTATAAAATAAATTGCTGGTTCCTTCATATACCTACATTTAAACTTTTGTCTCTGCCTCACAGTGGCAGTACAGTAGTAAAAACTGTTTCTAAGAGCCAAGTTCTGGGCAGCCAATGCCACAATATTATTTTTTTGTATACATCACATGAATCTTCAGCACAGAAACTAATCCCTAATGCTAACAGCTATACCATGACTTCAGAAAATTTAAGGACTCTCTGTGACTTAAAAGGACACAGATGTAATTAATATCACATTAGTTGCATCTGTGTCATTTTACCTAATATTTTGTCAGTAATTCTACCATTATTACTAATCAGAAATTTTAAATTTGGGAAAATCTCAGAAATTCTGAATTTTGGAGATCATTCTAAATGAATCGTTTCTAACCCTGAAGATATTACCCTGCAGAAAAATGATAGTAGAAAAGATAATTATATGATGAATGTTCATAGCTGCAAACCTACAACAATAAAACAATTATTTATTATTATTATTACTTATTATTATTTATTATTATTACTTATCCTTCATGAAGATCATTGTAACTTGGGGACTTCTGTATTTTTTAAGCACGTATACTTTGAGCACATCAAGTGCAGTACCTGTATTGTTCAAAAGAACATCATGTATGAGCAGATGCTTACCAAAGCCAGCAATATCCAGGATACCAATATAATATGATGATGAGGAGAATGGGATGCTCTGGTTGATTCGGTGAACAATGTAGTCAAACAATTTACTATACATGGCTTTAGCCAATGCATCACGAGCACTGCTGGCTTCATATGTTTTCAGTGGAACCCTGAAGTGAACAGATGTATAATTACAATGCAATGCTATTCATAATATATAATTAAAAATTTACACAATGGAGCTTCACTATCATTAACTTTCCTATTAATATTAACCTTCTTCACCAATAATCTGTCCACACGCAAAAAAAGCACAACTGAATCATTTTACAACAAACGTTAAGAACGAAGTTATGGAATATAATTCTTGACTAAACATATGTATATTGATACTAGTATAACAAAACAGAGACAACTAAAATGTCAGGAGCAAGGGGTTAGTAACCTCTTCTCCTGTATAAATTACTAAATGTGAAAAGAAGAAAAACTTTTTCAGGTCACCCTGCTTTGGTGGGAGATGGCTGGCAAGTCAAAAAGAAAAAGATAACCTTTTTATGAGGTTTTTACTACCAAAAATAAAGCCAGAGTAATGCTCCACATTTTATGAGTGCAAGCTACACAAAAAATATGAAAAATTATTAAAATAAGAAAGTATTTATGAAAGCATCACCACCTGCTTCATGTGGTGTTAATGTTTGTTTTCTAATCTGCATATTAGTTCCTGATTCACTTGGGTGATCTGATTTACTTGGTGTAGGTTCACTTTCCTCTTGTATGGCCACCTTTCCTTTATACAGTATCATGTAACATGGCCTAGGTAGTAGGTTGGTAGACAGCAACCGCCCAGGGAGGTACTACCGTCCTGCCAAGTGAGTGTAAAATGAAAGCCTGTAATTGTTTTACATGATGGTAGGATTGCTGGTGTCCTTTTTTCTGTCTCAAACATGCAAGATTTCAGGTACGTCTTGCTACTTCTACTTACACTTAGGTCACACTACACATACATGTACAAGCATATATACACACACCCCTCTGGGTTTTCTGCTATTTTCTTTCTAGTTCTTGTTCTTGTTTATTTCCTCTTACCTCCATGGGGAAGTGGAACAGAATTCTTCCTCCGTAAGCCATGCATGTTGTAAGAGGCGAAAAAAATGCGGGAGAAGGGGGGCTAATACCCCTTCTCCTGTATATATTACTAAATTTAAAAAAAAAGAGAAACTTTTGTTTTTTTTGGGGGGCCACCTGCCTTGGGGGGTACTGCGGTTTGTTGAAAGAAAAAAAAGAGAAAAACATGGTTAACTAAGCCCTCCAATGTTCTGAAGTTTATTACAGTGGTCCCCCATTTTTCGTATTTCCCCGGCATGTAAATTCTCCAATCATGGGGGGTATTTTCGTATAAACATGGACTCGCTTTTCATAGGTTGACTATGAGTCGAGTTCACCCGGGACTTTACGCAGGGCCCGTGAGCCAGGGCGGCAGCCATTTGGGCATTGTTTCCCAGTGAGCAAAGGCCCCCTCACGTGCTCCAGTGAAATATTTCAAAATATTCCATTTATTTTGGTCTTGCAAGTATAAAAAAAGCTCCATGGCTCCAAAAAAAGTCCTAGTGCCAAGCCTGTGGAAAAGAAGGTGAAAATAGATGAATTTAAAAAAACCCATCATTGAACAATATGAAAGTGGTAAAAGTGGGGCCGAATTTCCCGGATGTATAAGAAACCTCAAAACCCTTATTTTCCCTTGGGGCCCAAGAAAAATAAAAATAAAGGATGCTGTTGTTGCAAAGGGAGAAAAACTATGCTGACAAAAATGAGATCCCAGTATGGAAGGGGTTGGGAAAAGTTATTATGGTTGGATAAATGAGAAACAATTAGCAGGAGATATCTTATGACTTCGTTTATTTGTGGAAAAGGCTAGGCAGTTGCATGAAGATTTGGAAAAGAAATTGCTGCAAAAAGTGGTAAAGTGAATGAATTTAAGGCCAGCAAAGGCTGGTTTGAGAGTTTAAGAACCTACTGGCATAACAGTGGGGAAAGGGGATGGTGAGGCTGCCAGTTCGGCCCAAAAGGCGGCTGAAAAAATGTGCATAAATTTCCCGGGGGAGTACATAGAGGTGAAGGACTAAAACCCTGAACAAGTGTTCAATTGTGACAAAAACGGGCCTTTTTGGAAGAAAATGCCAAAGAGGACCTTCATTACACAAGAGGAAAAGGCAATCCCGGACAAAAGCTATGAAAGACAGGCTGACGTAATGTTCTGTGCTAATGTAGTGGGGGGTTTCAAAGTGAAGCCATTACTAGTGTTTCCATTCTGAAAATCCCCAGTGTTCAGGAAAAACAATGTTATGAAAAGTAAATTGGGTGTTTTGGGAAATCTAAAAGTAGGGAGGGTCACGAGGGGGAAAAATTTTGTCGAGTGGTTCAATGAAGTGTTTGGCCCTAGTGTGAAGGAGATCTCTGGAAAAGAAAAATTGATTCCCAAGTGCGTTAGAATGGACATGCATGCTCATCCCCCCAAACTTGGATGCCTAATTTGAGGAGTTTGGGTTCATCACAGTAAAGTTCTTGCCCCCGAAAACCACTCCCTCCAACCATGGGCCAGCAGGTTATTGCAAACTTTAAAAAAATCTACACAAAAAAACAATGTTTACAGGTGCTTGACTGTGACCACAGACACCACTTGACCCTAAGGGAAATTTTTGGGAGAAAAATTCAGCCCTCCACTGCATAACCCTTAAGGGATGGCTTGGGAGGGAGTGGATACCAGGATTGAACTCTGCCCGGAGAAAATTGTGGCCAGATTGTGTCGACAAGGGGGATTTTTAAGGATTTGGGGCTGACCCTAATGAGCCTATGTCTGTTTTAAAATCAATTGTGGGATGGGGAGTTTTCCCTGGGGTTGGATTTTGAGTTTGGGATGTGGAAAAAATTGGGGGAAGACCCCAATTTAAGAGTCCCACTGGGAGCGCAAGAGCTTCAGCAGGAAAAGCAACACATCGCAGCTCAGAATCTTTCGCAGGGAGGAGGAAAAGGATGGAGAAGGGGCCTTCTTTAGAAATTAAAAATTTTTTCTATGGGGGTAGATGGAAAAACTTTATGGAGAAAAAATCACCCCAACAAGGTTGTTGCAAGCCAGGTTTGGAAAAATGTACAGTGACAAAGTCTTGGGCCCTTTTAGGGAGTGTTAAAGAGATGCCAGAAACAGAGCTCTCTCCACAGTTATTTTGAGACAGGACTCCAGTGACTCTCAAGGTGGTCCTAGTGGCATTAAGAAACAGAGAAGAGAAGCAACCCCAGAAAAGCAAATGGTACATGAGGTGTTGATGGAAGGGGATTCCCCTTCCAAACTATAAACAATCCACTCTCTCTCCTCCTCCAGTCTCCCATACACTAAGAAGAATCTCCAATAAAGGTAAGTGTTATGCTGTTAATGTTTCATTCATCATTTCCCATTGTATTGTTTATGTACCACGCAAGAGGCGTGGAGTTAAAAGATAAAGAATCACACACAAAGTGGGAGTTGTCACAGCTGCTCTTTGCTGATGACACTGTGCTCTTGGGAGATTCTGAAGAGAAGTTGCAGAGATTGGTGGATGAATTTGGTAGGGTGTGCAAAAGAAGAAAATTAAAGGTGAATACAGGAAAGAGTAAGGTTATGAGGATAACAAAAAGATTAGGTGATGAAAGATTGGATATCAGATTGGAGGGAGAGAGTATGGAGGAGGTGAACGTATTCAGATATTTGGGAGTGGACGGCAGCGGAGGGGTCTATGAAAGATGGGGTGAACATAAAATTGATGAGGGAAAAAGTGAGTGGTGCACTTAGGAGTCTGGGGAGACAAAGAATTTTTGTCCTTGGAGGCAAAGGGGGGGAATGTATGAGAGTTATTTTTACCAACGCTCTTATAGGGTTTTGAAGCGGGGGTGAGAATGTTGAAAAGCGAGGAAAAGGCTGGGAGGCAGTGGAATGTCATGTCTGGGGGCAATGTGTGGTGTGAATTAATGCGAGAATTCGTATTTTGGAAGTTAGGAGGGGGTGCGGGTTCCCAAAAATTTTGTCCAGGGGCTGGGGAAAGGGGTTGTTGGGGGGTTCGGACAGTGAGAGAAATGGGCGAAACAAAATGACTTCAAGAGTGTATCAGTCTGTAGTGAAGGAAGGGGGTAGGGGTGGGCCAGAAAGGTTGGGGAGGGATGGGAAAAGGGAGGTTTTGTTGCGGGGGGCTTGGACTTCCAGCAGGCATGCGTGAGCGTGTTTGATGGAGTGAAGGAGAAAAAATGGTTTTTAATACTTGACGGCTTTTGGGGAGTGTAGCAAAGAAACATTTATAAAGGGGATTGGGGGAAAACGGGAGGCCGGACTTGAGTCCTGGAAGGGAAGTCAGTCCCTGCACTCTAAAGGGAAAGGGGTGTTAATGTTGCAGCTTAAAAACTGTATGTAAACACCCTTCTGGCAAGACGTGATGGAGTAAAATGATGGTGAAAGTTTTTTTTTTTTCGGGCCCCCTGCCTTGGTGGGAATGGCCAGTGTGATAATAAAAAATAATAACGTAAAAAACGGTCCCTCGTAAGACGTAATTTTAAAGGGCCCCGGGGGCAGTCAAAAATTAAAAAAGAATATTTGGAAAGAATAAGTTATGGGATAAAAAAAGTTAGGTGATGAAAGATTGGATATCAGATTTGGGGGGAGAGAGATGGTGGGGAAATGTATCAATATTTTGGGGTAGACGTGTTCACAGATGGGCTCTGAAGGATGAGGGGAAAAAAAGAATTTATGAGGGGAAAAAAGGGGGAATGGTGCACTTAGGAACTGTGGAGACAAAACTTTTTCCGGGAAGCAGAGGGGAATGTATGAGATTATTTGTACCAACACTCTTTTATGGGTGTGAACATGGGTGAGAAAGTTGTAATGGGAGAAGGTGGGGCAGTGGGGAAGCATGTCTGAGGCAAAAGTGTGGGGTGAATAAATGCAGAGAATTCGAATTTGGAAAATTGGAGAAAGGGTTTTTGGGTTACCAAAAACTATTATCCAGGGGCTGAGGCGGGGGTTTTTAAGGTTTTGGACAGTAGAGAGAATGGGAAAAAAATAGAATGACTTCGAAATTTTAAAAATCTGTAGGGGGGGAGGGGGGGTGGGGGCCCCAAACCAGGGAAAGGGGTTGGAGGAAAGGTAAAG